AGGGCTGAAAACCAGAGGAAATATCAAATGTAAACTCTTAGCTTAGACCTTAGCTTGAGAACCAAACCACCAGGTAGAAGCAAGCTCCTCCAACCCATACTGAGTACTGTATTTATACAATGCAGAAAACAAGCCACTCAAGCCATGCTCAAGCCCAGCAGAAGAATGATGTCCACAGAAGCAGTCACCTAAGTGGCAAGGAAGCATTATCAAAGGAGAAGGATGACTACCAAGCAAACAAAGCAGACTGATGAAAATAAAATGTAAGGAGTTAAATGACACTATATTTGAATTCACTGTTAATTTTTTTCTGCTTTTAAATCAACTACTGTAGCTTCCATAGAAACAGTATGCAATTATCAAAACAGATGAGTGTTAAGGACACATGGCAGGTGGGCCACAGCATTAAAATAAATCAGCTCCAAGTTCAGTTATTTTATGTACATAAATCTTTCATTAGATTTTTCCAAAAAGACAAGTTAGCGCCATATGAACAATAATATTACCAAGAACAAGTTATGAATATACATCTGCACTTCAGGTTTAATTTACAAATTCTATTCAAGTTTTATAACTTAGTAGGCACACATCTAAATTACCTATTTTAAAGTCTACATGTGAGCTGGAGTATAGTATTTGAAAAAGGAAAACATTTCAGACACCTATGAAACATCCATACTGAAACCTGAACAAAGTTTTTTAAAATAGAGATTTCTCTGAATGTTCTTTTGAATAAAAAAAACTACACTTAGTATTTTATTTAAAATTAATTCAAGTTTACACTACACTTCTCCATGTTGTATTACATGCAGTAATAAAGTTAAACTTTGTTAAAATGCAAACAAAAGCTGTTAGACATGCAAGCTTATCCATGCTTTATGATGAAATTCCTGAATTATGTACATTATTGAAAAAAACATTTAACATCTTTAAGGAAAATGCTACTTTCAGAAGATACTTTTGAAAAGAGAATTGCTTTACATTTCCTGTAGATACTTTTTCCATTCCTTTTCCAACAAAGTTTTAGTAGTATGTAATTAATTTTCCTCTTGTTTGGACTGATCTTGCATTTGATTTTTTTAATATTAAATGGGGAAAAGAATCTTAAACATCCTCAATAAACCCAGAGCTAGTTCACACAAAATATCACCACACCCTTTTCAAAATAGTGGCTTGGGGATTAAATGACTGCAATATGTTTAGAAACATGTAAATTCCTTAAACTCTGGATTCTTCACTCCTTAATGGGCAAATTTTAAGATTTCATGTATATCTGTTTACCAAAGCAAAGGCAGGTGTAACTTTCTTTCCATCTCTACTTGCACATTACACCAAACACCTTTCCTCACTTAGTGGAAAGGATAATCTTGCACACTATATGTAGTTCTAGTGTTGCTAAGAAATTATCTGAAGTCAAAATTTCATATTAGTAACATATACTGATGAAAATCTGTTAAGAAGAATCAGAAGTCTAAGTTACTTTCTACACATTGCTCTCTGCTTATCCATTCATTAGAAAGATAAACAGTCTATTTACCAATTCATTTTAATAATAATAATATGTATTGATTATTGTTATCTATATTTTACAATCAGACTTAATTCCATGTAACATTTCTGCCTTTAGGTATTACAGTGAATATAAAGCTTGTGTTTCCCAAAGCATTTTACTACAAATAACATCAGTGCAAAAATGGGAAAACATGTCCGAATTTCCAAGTGAAACTCTGTGCATTGTCCAATTCTATTCAAAACTATGCTAATGGCAAATTTCTCTTATCACTTGAAACATATTTCTGCTCTTGGATACCAAAAGTAAATTTAAAAAAAAAAAAACAGTTACTTTGCTCTGGCACTGCTGCAATGTGTTGCTTAAATTATTTGACATTCAGAAAAAAGCTTGCTTAAAAGTACAATGTACAGCAACTATAGGAGAGAAATACAGGACAAAACATTTGCAATTTATAGTGGAATTACTATCGATGTTTCATGTAACATACAAAATTATTTGAAACATCTTTCCACATCAAAAGGAAAGCATTTCCGTCTTCAACTTTAGTAAAAACATTATGGTTCTATTGAATGAATGTTAACTGTAGTAAAATAAATACTATTGGTGAAAAATATGAGATTTCAATCATCTGAGACTGTGCTGCGTATCTCTCCTACCAAACAGATGTCAAAGAACATCACTGCAACCAACCTTAATTGGACACTGGCAAACTGGAGATGGATAATCCTATGTCCTTTTTACCTGAAATCTCTCCCCTTCTAGGAACTTTGTATGCATCTATATACTCCTAAATAACTGATCAACTTTATGGCACTACAAAATGAAGATATGTGGATCCACTAACCCAAGGTATTTATGAGCATAGAGAGGAGCATGAAATTTCAACACTGAAGACTGATAGCTGTGTGTGATTTTCATAGGAATGATGCTATTTTCATCTTACTATAGAATCTTTCTCAGTAACACCAGAACACCTTGTGCTTCCACCAAGCCAGAAAAAGGACTTAACAAGTTGAGACCTTGTCTACTTTCAATTCTATTACTTAACAAATTTGACAATTCCATGTTTTCATCAAGCCTTATTGATTACCCTAGAGCAGTACATTTTGAAGTCTGGCTTACAATGAAGCAAGCATCATGTTTCAGAATTAAAATGTACTACACAACTCAGTAAACCATGTACAGATGTCATTTTAAAGTGCATTATGCACAATGGATTTCTAAGCATTCTGGAAGGATAACTGATGTTGATCAGATTATTTCATCTCAAAAAGCACAATGCACATAAAGCCAATCCTATTCTTCTGGTCCATCTTGGGAAAATAATCAACTACTTACAGATTTAGCAGTTGCAGAAATGTACTGGACAACCATCTCACGTTTTGTGGTCAAGTCCTTATTTCGTAAAGGAGCTTTACGTTCTTCATTTAAGTTCATGTCTTCCTGTAAACAAGGAGACAACAAAAGGACATTTCAGTTTTCATTTATCTTCACTAGTACTGTTGCAACTTGATCCATAAAAAGTACTTAATATTTGAAAATTAACAAAGTTGCTGTGTACTACTTAAAATATCGGTGATAATCCAATGAGTTATTTCCTTACAGTATCCGCTGAATTATTTCAATATTCGGTTTTTTATTTTATATCTTTAACTATATGTTGTGAGCATTTATTTTACAATTTTCAATATCACCCATTATGTTAAGCACAACTGGCAAAGAAGTATTGTATGGTTTCAGGAAACAATACAAGAAAAATAAGATTGAAAAACTGAATCAAATGTAAATATTAAGGTGACCAAGTGCACACATTTTGTATAAATGTCCAAAGTGATTTTTAATAAAAAAGATTTTAGTGGCATAAAAACTTGTCATTTTAAACAAAAATCCTTCAGTTTAATGAGACTTTTAAACATTTGACACATTAACCAAGTTTGTGAATTTTTTCTTTGCACAAGCAGTTTCCTCTAACAGGGACCAAAGGCTAGCTTCCCAAACCACTATCTAACTACTAAGAGATGGGATTCTTCTTAAACCCTTGTACTCCAAGTGGAGCATAAGTCATCTACAAGTCTCCTCCACTTCACTCTATCTTGAGACAAAACTTCTAGCTGACTCCAGAAGTACCCCAGTTGTTGTCCTTCAATCTCAGTAGAACTTCTCCACGTTGTCCAAAGTCTTCCTCTTTTGTGTTTTCCTTGCAGGTTCCACATGAGAGCTTGACGGACTATGCTAGATGATGTTTTTCTGAGAGAGTGGCCTAGACATCCCCACTTTATTCTCTTGATTTCAAGAGTTGGAATTATCCCTAACTAATTTAAGAACAGTGCAATCGCAGTGCCTTAAAGCCACGTTCCCTGATTAAGGAATATAATCACATCAACATACTCATGTTTTCCCTAAGTTCTAATATTCGAAGGTGGCTATTTTCATGTTATGAGTTGGTGCCATTTTCAGGCGGAATGTAAATGAAGTGCTGCATTTGTTTTTCCAGCACAGATGATCATTTTATTTATAAAACTTTAGGAAATATATATAAAAATAAACGTAAAAATCTCAGTTCCGATGTCCACATTAGCATTCAGTTTATAAAATGGAAAAAATTTAAAGACCTCACAAAAAGTTATTCCAGTTTATTTGATCCATTTCTTCCAAAACCTCCTCTATCACCTCCTCATTAGGGGACAATTCTCAGATGTGTCACTTAAAAATAATGGCTTGATGTAGAAATCTTCTTCACATCCTCTGATGCAAATAATGAATTTAGCTTCTTTATAATGACCCCTCATCTTCCTTGAGCGCTTCTTTAGTACCTCAATCATTCAGCAGCCTCAACTATAATTTGGTAGGATTCCAGCTTTTTAGGTACTTAAATTTTTTGCTACTCCTTACTCTTCAACTTCTTTTTTGGCTTACCCACCTGTACTTTTACACCAGATATGCAAGAGATTACGCTCCTTTCTATTTTTCTTAATGGTATTTCACTTCTAATTTTTAAATGATGTATCAGAGAGAATGGCACTAACAGGGCAATTATTGTGCAACCTATCCCACGTCATCATGTCCCAAGTTCTGGAAGTCAGAGGTATAGGGACACCTTGATCATGGAGTTGCATCCCTAACCACCATTTATGACTGAAGTACTTGGAGACTGATGCATTGCTTAAGTTATTTTAGAGAGAAGCAGATGCTCATGTTGGAAATAAGATGCAAGTATATGCTATGATTATGATAACAGTAACATTTGCAGCAAAATTTCTAAATTAATGCTTCTTCTCAGTAACTTGGAGACCTACTTTTACAAATAAGGATGCATAGCTTAAATCATATTTAAATCAAGTGTCCCATACTTTGCTTTTGATGTCAATGAAGTGTTAAAGGTAAGGAAGACTGGTTTTATAATAGACCATCCGGTGAGTGTCTTTGTTAAGACCCAGGGAAGCTGTTCCAAATATGCACATAAGGTCATTTCCAAAAGCTCTCTATAGCTGGCTTGTGAAACTCCTTCGTAGAAAAATTAAGACCCTTTCCTATATATCTGTTCCAAAAGTAGTTTGTAGCTAAGTCCCTAAGGAAAGGACTAATTTAATATACACACTCAAAAGGGTTAAAAATCCCCAGTCATCTGTAACAGACACAGAAGATGTGGTCATTGAGTAGCTCCATAAAAACTTAATTTAAATTTGAACTGAGGGAAAAAAGCTATCAATTGAAGCAAACCATTGTCTTTTACAGCAAAATATATGACTACCATTATTTCTGATGTATGTAAGCTATGCATCCTTATTTGTAAAAGTAGGTCTCCAAGTTACTGAAGAAGCAGCATTAATTTACTAATTTTTCTGCAAATGTTACTGTTATTATAGGTCCTAACACATTAGTGTCCATGCCAATCTAGACGCTTTTTTCCGCAAATGCTTTTAACGGAAAACTTTTTCCGTTAAAAGCATTTGCGGAAAAAAGCGTCTAGATTGGCATGGACACTTTTCCGCAATCTAGATGCGGTTTTGCACAAGAAAGCTTTTTTTCACAAAACAATACCGCATTGTCTACACTGGCCCTCTTGCGCAGAAGCATTTACGCAAGAGGGCTTTTGCCCAAATGGGAGCAGCATAGCATTTCCACAAGAACACTGACAATCTTACATGAGATGGTCAGTGTTCTTGCGGAAATTCAAGCGGCCTGTGTAGACAGCTGGCAAGTTTTTCCACAAAAGCAGCTGCTTTTGCAGAAAAACTTGCCAGTCTAGACACAGCCAAAATGTATTCTTTGTAAAACTGTTAAGACGATGAAGAAAATTTAATGTTATTTGTATATTAAGTCTTTTTGTATTAAGGACTTTGGTCTCTCAAGAGATCACAACCTTTTTACAACATACATATAAGCAGTAATAGATTTCTAATACTGTTATTTGAAGATTGTTTAAAAAAAGAGGAATTTATCAAGGATCACTACATCAGATTTATTTTACTTTTATCAAGTCTTTTGGGGTTTTCTGAAGACCTGAATCGGACAATTTTTTAACATACAATGCATTCTGGCAAGGTTTACTGATTATTCAGTTCAGTGACAAGTTATAAGGGGTATGTCTACACTACCCCGCTAGTTCGAACTAGCGGGGTAATGTAGGCATACCGCACTTGCAAATGAAGCCCGGGATTTGAATTTCCCGGGCTTCATTTGCATAAGCCGGGCGCCGCCATTTTTAAATCCTGGCTGGTTCGAACCTCATGCCGCGCGGCTACACGCGGCACGAACTAGGTAGTTCGGACTAGGCTTCCTAGTTCGAACTACCGTTACTCCTCGTGGAATGAGGTGTAACAGTAGTTCGAATTCAGATTAGAAGCCTAATCCGAACTAGCTACTCCATGCCGCGTGTAGCCGCGCAGCACGGGGTTCGAACTAGCCGGGATTTTAAAATGGCGGCGCCCGGCTTATGCAAATGAAGCCCGGGAAATTCAAATCCCGGGCTTCATTTGCGAGTGCGGTATGCCTACATTACCCTCCTAGTTCCAATTAGGAGGGTAGTGTAGACATACCCATAGTTCATACAATTAAATATCTGTCTTTTGTACAAAGAGCGTAAGATACATTTTGGTGTTTCACAATAGTAGCTAGCTCCACAGCCAAACTATCTGACATCTCACATTTCAAAACTGTTGATGCACATGACAATATACTGTAGAAGTAAAAAACTTTGCAAATTGCTTACCATCATTTTTTCAAAAAGATCCATAACTTCTTTTTCTGATAAATTCATACAACGATCATCAAACAATGGCTGGGCAACTGGAAATTCGCTCATAGAGGCTTGAGAATCAATAGGATGCTGAATGAGAGGTTTCTCTTTTTTTACAGTTGATTTTCTAAAACTTGTTAGTCTGTAATGCTGAAAAGAAAAGATAAAACTTTAAAAATTTATATATATATATATATAGATAGATAGATAGATAGATAGATAGATAGATAGATAGATAGATAGATAGATAGATAGATAGATAGATAGATATAGACAATGAGGAAGTAGCACAAATGTTTATTGTATCATGAGCATGCAGTTTGATCAATAAACATACCAATGGTTATTTTGAAGCAGCAGTCACAAAAATCAGAGACTGTACTAAATTTCTCACAAGGAATGTTTTTCCCCCAATCGGAATCGGAATTTAATCCACACTAGAGGAATTGAAGTATAGTTTCCACATTAAATTACCATGCCCTGAGAATCATTTACATGCCAATACAATGCAGTCTGAAAAATCTTTTAAGATACAGGAATGGGGAGAATGGCATGTTGCACTTCAACTGGTTACAGTACGACGATAAATGCCAAGACAACTGCCCAATCATCTTTTGCCTGAAGAGTGGTGGTGCGTTTTTGGAGGACAGCTAATATGGCAAAATTTGGGGGATAATCATGGCTTCATTAAGTGTACACATTTCTACATAAAGAAATCTTCCAGAAGAATAGAAAGTATCTTAGGCTTTTCATAGAATCAGAGCTGGAAAAGACCTCAGGAGGTCATCAAATCCAGCCCCCTGCCCAAGGCAGAACCAATCCCAACTAAATCAACCCAGCTAGGGCTTTGTCAAGCCGGGACTTAAAAACCTCTAGGTATGGAGATTCCACCACCTCCTTAAATAACCCATTCCAGTACTTCACTACCCTCCTAGTGAAATAGTTTTTCCTAATATCAAACCTAGACCTCTCCCACTGTAACTTGAGACCATTTCTCTTTGTTCTGCCATCTGTCACTACTGTGAACATCCTTTCTCCATCCTCTTTGGAACCTCTCTCCAGGAAGTTGAAGGCTGCTATCAAATCCCCCTTCACTCTTCTCTCCCCCAGACTAAACAAACCCAAATCCCTCAGTCTCTCCTCATAGGTCATGCACTCCAGTCCCTTAATCATTTTGGTAGCCAACTCTTCTATTAGGTGTCAAGTACAGTCTCTTGTAATTAGCGAATAGTGTCACAATCCAGTTAATAGTTTTATTGCATTGAAACAGCCATTCATTGTTTAATACATTTGACAGATATTAGTAAAAGCATACCACGTGATCTGCAATGAAAGCTCTTAATTAAAACTCAATGGGTTATATTCCTTTTTTCCCCTCTTTATGAGTGCATGCATACTCAGGTAATTTATTATTACAAGAAGAGAAACAATCATTTCACCAGGTTACAGTGATTTTGTGCTCCTTCACTCCAAGGTTGTTTGTTACCATATTACTTAATACATAATTTACCCTAATAACTATTAACAATCAGAAAATCTGTTATTTTATACTACCATCTGAAGAAATACTTGTTATGACTGCTTTGACATCAATATAGACAAAACAATTTAACCACTCTCATAATTGCTGTACATTTTATGGAATCAAACAGCCTTAAGAAGAGGAACTCAATAAAACCATCCATTTCCAACAGATTTGAGCAGCTTAATTAAGGTTAAATGTGTACTTGTACAATTTTTCATAGAATTTTTCATAAAAGTGATTAAGTTCAATAGTTTTACATATTTTAAAGTAACAAATCAATGTCAAAAGATTAAGTTGCCTACAACTGACACTTAAACCATTCAAGACTCAAATTTGTTTTTCCAATTCTACCTGATTTTTCATGAAACAGGGAGGGAGAGCAAAGAAGAAGTTAGTACTGCAAGACTTACTTCACCAAAACTTGAAACATGTAACCCTATATAAGCTGCACTCCTCTTTCTTAATACAGTAAACTCCCGATAATCCGGCACCTTTAGGACCCAGGGGGTGCCGGATTATCAGATATGCCGGACTATCAGAAGGGGGGGCTATGAGGGGTCTCGAGTGGGGTGGGAGGGAATGTCACCCCAGACCCCTCATAGTCCGGCTCTACCCCAGGCATCCCTGATTCAGCCGCTGCTGGTCAGTTTCAGCAGCAGCTGAATCGGGGATGCCTGCAATAGAGCAGCTGGGGTGCTGCTGGGTTGGTCTCGCATGCCGAGGGGCGGCGCGACGGCACCAACCCAGCAGCATTCCAGCTGTTCTTGGGGACGCCTGGGACAGAGCAGCTGGGGTACCGCCCGGTTGGTCCCGTAGTGCTGCCCCACGGGGCTGCGGGACCAACCCAACCCAGCAGCACCCAAGCTGCTCTTGGGGACGCCTGGGGCAGAGCAGCTGGAGTGCTGCCAGGTTGGTCCCTCAGCGCCAAAGGACGGCGCTGCGGGACCAACCCGGCAGCACCCTAGCTGCTCTTGGGGATGCCTGGGGCAGAGCAGCTGGAGTGCTGCCGGGTTGGCTTCGTAGCACCAAAGGACAGCGCTGTGGGACCAACCCGGCAGGACCCCAGCTGCTCTGCCCCAGGGGTCCCCGATTAGCCACTGCTGAAACTGACGCTGCTGGTCAGTTTCAGCAGCAGCTGAATCGGGGATGCCTGCAATAGAGCAGCTGGGGTGCTGCTGGGTTGGTCTCGCATGCCGAGGGGCGGCGCGACGGCCCCAACCCAGCAGCATTCCAGCTGTTCTTGGGGACGCCTGGGACAGAGCAGCTGGGGTACCGCCCGGTTGGTCCCGTAGTGCTGCCCCACGGGGCTGCGGGACCAACCCAACCCAGCAGCACCCAAGCTGCTCTTGGGGACGCCTGGGGCAGAGCAGCTGGAGTGCTGCCGGGTTGGCTTCGTAGCACCAAAGGACAGCGCTGTGGGACCAACCCGGCAGGACCCCAGCTGCTCTGCCCCAGGGGTCCCCGATTAGCCACTGCTGAAACTGACGCTGCTGGTCAGTTTCAGCAGCAGCTGAATGGGGGAAGCCTGTCCGGCTGCCCCAGCACTTTCGGGTTCCTGATGGTGCCGGACCATCAGGAGTCCCGGAGCATTGGATGCTGGACTAATGGAGTTTTACTTGTATATCTTTTGCCTAAACGCACCATTTGTGGACTGAGACAATCACTTAAAATATTACACTTAATAGCTGTGGCAGACTGGTATTTTCACCTATAATTTACCACTCCCAATTACTACAGAATATTTGTAAAACCCAGCAAGTGAAACATTTAATATCCTTTAAATACAGGCTTCATTGTCCACAACCATTAGATTAAGATAGCATGCACTGTAAAGAAAAGTTGCCATGAAGACCTTACCACATCATCTGCCAAAGTTTTTATTTGAACATTCTATTAAAAATCAAAGAAAAAAGAAAAAGCAAGTTACCTTCTGGTATTAAACAAAATATATATATATTAAACTCTTGAACATTAATGTGGAAACAGTAACTGAAATCTTCCTTTAGCTGATTTAATAGAAATCAATTAAGATGTTTATGAATGGGTTTGAGCTAGTAAGACATTCATATTTATAACCCCTTATACAGCATTTCTTCCCCTCTATCCAGAAAAATGAGTTCCAGGGGTTTATTTATTTCAACATACCATAGAGCAACAAACATTTGTTTCAACCAATATAAGAACTGTTACACCCAAGTCCCAGTTTACTTAGTTTTACAACTTGAAAATTTGATGACTTAAGATTTGTGTGAAGAAAGTCATTGCCTGCACGAGCATCCTTCTCTTCCTTTTGCCAGGAGATTCCATTTAGAGCAGAGGGAGATAAACTACAGCTCGTGGATTGCATCCAGCCCATCCACCAAGCTCATGCTGGGCAGTAGGATCAGAGGCCTGCCCTGCTCTGCCTAGCTTCTGGAAGTAACAGCATGTATCCCTTCCAGGCGGCTCTTAGGCATAGGGAAGCCAAAGGGCTCCATGAGCTGCCCCCCGCAGCTCCCACTGTATGTCTAGTAGGAGCTTCAGGGGCGGTGCTTGCAGATGGGGTAGGAGGGCACCACACAGAGATGCCTGGTCGTGTCTCCACATAGAAGCTGGCCAGAAGGGGGACATGCCACTGCTTCCAAGAGCTGCTTGAGGAGGTAAGTGCTGCCCAGAACCTGCACCCCTGAGCCACCTTGCATCCTCTAAACCCCTTGGTTCCAGCCTACAGCCCACTCCAGCTGCCAGACCCCTCATTCCCAGCTCCACTCCAGAACCCCAGCTGGAGTCCATAGCCCAACTCTCTTTCCCAGCTCAGAGCCTGCTCCTGCACCTTAAACTCATTTCTGAGCCCAGCCAGAGCCCTCATTCTCTCCTGAACTTAAACTTCTAATCTGTGAGCATTTATGGCCTTCCATACAATTTCCATGCCCTGGCCCTCGTGTCAAAAGTTCCGCCTACCCGTGATCAAAAGACATCTGGCACTGTTAAATCTGGCAATGCTACATTTCTTTAAAGCTTTATTTTGCTCTCTGACCTGGCCTACAATAAAAGGTCAGTTGACTACCACACCATGTACTACTTAAGAACCAATGATAATAATGGCTTAGGTAGTTTAAACAGGAATATTCCAGAGAAAAATGTCACAGTGACTTACCAAAAACAATAAATGGAAGATTTGCCAGCATGGCAGAAAATGAGCTGTAATATGTATCCACATTTCAGTGACTGAGTATCTAACCAAAATCTTCACATTTATTGTAGTTGCTTCTCCCATGCAGACAATCAAAGCCAAATAATTTTATAGGGAGTAAGTCTCATCCAACTAGCTTTCTTTAAAGTACCCATCTCCTGCAGATACTCAGTGTTAATTGCAACAAAGAGCTAGTTCAGATATGGCCAAGTAAAATGCTGGGCATCATCAACATACTCTAGCCACTGCAACTCTCTCAAGGAAGTTTAAGTTAACCTACATTAGAAACAAGAGCCTTGACAAGGCGGAGCACTGCAAAACCAGCATTTCCTTCAGGGAGCAGAAAAAGAGTCCCCTGTCCTCACCACCTTAGGCAGCCCTTAGAACCATGTGGCAGTTGCAAAGGCCTAGGGTTCCAGCTACAAGGGATGCTGCAGGCCCTTTTGAATTGACAGGCCCATGGCAGCTAACCCCTTTCTCCCAACCCCATCAGCTGGCCTGCCCACTTATTATGATTTGCAACTCAGTCACTACTCTTTCGCTGTGTAGGACATCAAAAGGCTGCCTACACTGTTTTATTGTTGATATTTCATCTTTCTTCATTGCCAGATCATCCACTGACCCTGCCCTACATTCTCTACCCAACTCAATCAAATTGACAAGGATTAATGAACTCCAAGTCCAATAAATATTATGTCATTAGTAAAGAATACCTCTGAAAATAAACCATTAGCTTCTGGAAGCTAAAGGGAGGCAAAGACATCCACACTTGTGATATCTCAATTGGTGTAATTAATGCTTCTTCCATTCACAGAGTGGCCCTACAAAGGCCTTTTTTGCAAATGCTACCACTTGCCATCGGGAACCCGGAAGTGCTCCAGGCAGCCGGACAGTTAGAGCTGCTCTGCACCCGGCTTTCCCGATTGAGCCGCTGCTGAAACTGACCAGCAGCTGAATCTGGGAGGCTAGAGGCAGAGCAGCTGGGGTGCTGCCGCCAGGTTGGTCCTGTAGCACTGCCCCTC